TATTTTTTAAAATTATATTTTTTAATAAAATATTAAAAAATTAAAAATAAAGAATTTTTTAATAAAAATTTATTAAAATAATATAATTTTAAAATAATTTTTTAATTTTTAAGAGAAGACAGTTATACATTATTTTTTATTTTTTATTTAGTATAAATACCATACTAACTAATACTATGCTCGTACTCATTGACAGGAAGTGGGCTTCTTAGACTCAATGAGCCAGGAAAAATAAATGGGCCTAACAGGCTACATATGTATCAGTCGAGTCGGATGATTGGATGAGGCGGATCTCTTCTATTCTGTTCCCTACGGTGGCCATTGGCGACTGGCTACTAGCGACCACCTTCATATTCATATATATAAATTCAATTCCAATTAACCGCATTCGCCAATTTGTTTTTCGTCTTCTCTCAAGTCTCCACCACGCCACTGTAAGTTGATACTGTTTCTTTCAAATTTTTACAGAAAATTCTCAATTCTTTTCTTTTTTTTTGTGTCTTGTCGCTGCTTTCATTATTATATATATTATAGGGTTAACCGTTGATACTCTATAGTTCGTCGGCGACGGCTTACCATTTTCTTTTTCGCCATAAGCCCTAGGTTAGGTCTGTATTTCAACTTCTTTTCGTTCTTGAGTTTCTGAGATTGGGTTTCTTTCCGATATAGGAATGGCGCATCTGGGGGGTGGTGCAGAGGCACTCACCCGTTTCAAGCAGTATGAGTATAGAGCTAACGGAACTATTAGACTTACAGCCTCTTCCTGTGACTGCTTTAAGGAATCCATCCTATGAAGAACTTTATTAGGATTTTAAGCATTTCAATCCTGTCCAGACTCAGGTCTTTGTTGTTCTTTACAACTCGGATGACAATGTTTTTGTGGCTGGCAGTGGGAAGGCCATATGTTCTGAGTTTGCTATATTGATGAACCTTCAGAAAGTTCCCAAGAGTATTATGCGTGTAGTTTATATTGCTCCTCTGGAAGGTATTGCCAAAGAGATATATCGTGATTGGGTGAAGAAGTTCGACGGAGGTCTGGGTTTGCAAGCGCTTGAATTAACTGGTGAAACCACAATGGATCTGAAGCTGCTTGAGAATGGTCAGATAATCATCAGC